CCTTTCTAGCATTTCTTAAAGTCCCTTTAAGCAACTTAGCCTTTCAACTCACGGTGCCTGTGTCCAACTTCCTTCAGTATTTCGTGAACCGCTTTCATTCCTCTCTGAACTGTCTCTCCGTTGCTGCGGCCATTGGTCTCCCTTGTGGTAGTTTGGTCAGCATGTGTTTTACCCGCCCACCATTGTTTGTTGCTGGTAGCCCTTTCCTGGATTTGAGTCGTGTCAGTCTTTCCAACAGATGCGGTCTTCTCTCAGGTCCGCCGCTTTGCCATTTACCAGCCTCGTTCTGCTGAAACTCAGTCTCGCCTTCTTTTGTTGGTTCTCATCCTCTGTCCATGACTGTGTGATCCTCCAGCATTTGCGGYGGATTTCAGTTTGTATCATCGTTTTTGTCTMGGCCCGAACCTTCTCACGTGAATTGGCCACTCTTTCAATCGTCCTGCTGCATCTTTCCTTCCATATGATCTATAGCRTCACCCTTTTTTACTCTGCATCAAAGGGTGCACTACATCTTCYACTGCRTCTTCGGAGCAAAYTGTGCGTAACTCCTAGCTGTCAGGATCTGTGGCTTTCCGTCTGGTGTGTAAGCCTTGAATTACCRGGAGGGCAGCATTTACGAGCAGTCACTGCAGGCCGTTAGACTGGCCTTTTGCTGGAGCTGTTACTTGGGCTCTTGCTTGTGTCGTGTCCACCTCTGTCCTTGGATGTCTTATGAAATACCCTTGAGTGAAAATTCTATGGTCTATCTATTTCTCTCCCCCCCATAATGTGATGCTTGCTGTCTTGGTCGATATCTTGCTCCCCTATACTTTTTTTCTTGTCCCAGGTCTGAGCTTTTCCTGAGCTTAATATATCCGTCCTATATATGTGACCCTGTCTAACCTGGAGTGTTGTGCTGTCGTATCTTTCGGTGTTGGTTAGAAGGTAGGTTTCTGTTGCTGGCTAGACGTCGGTGTTCTTCGTTCACACTAATGTTCCTTGCATTTGAATTTAAATATTATTGTTGAAGTTGATGCTGATGTCAGCCTGATGATGATGAATCGTTGGTGATGATAGCGATGATGATGATGATGATGATGACGATGATGGTGATGATGATGATGATGATGATGATGACGATGACGATGATGATGATGATATGTGGCTCCATAGCTTTCTTCTTTGTTTTGATCGTTTTTTTTGCCGTTTGTTTGTGTTTTTTTTTCCGTTCAATATTTTCGCTTCGCTTGCCAGGTGGTGTGTTCCGCGGTTTCGCATTCTCTTCAGTTCCCCGAACCGTGGTCTTCTCTCGTCGAAGCTCCGCGCCTTCGTCATGTCGCAGGACCGCAGCAAGGGTCCGGCGCTGGCGGACCCTTCCACGGGCCCCAGGCAAGGTCATAACACGAAGGCGTTCGAGTCGCCTTTCAAGGTTGATGCGAAGGTCGACAGGAAGAGAGACGATCCAGTGTGGCATTTCGTCGCGAGAGGTCGTTATTTGGATGGCTCCACGGCGGCGGGTAGGAAGCTTGGTCGTCGCTGCCTGTGCAGGTTGTGCGGTCGTTCTATTTGCGGGGGCGCCAAAGCTGCCAAGGAACACTTCTCGAAGAGCGAAAAGTTCCGATGCGAGGCGGCCACTCCTGCGGTGTGGTATGCCATCTGGGCGAAGGACATGACCAGATGTCCGAAGGAGTTCGTTTCGGCCATCGAGTCATTGCARAGCTTAGATTCGGGTCATCCAAGGTTCCARTGGCCACCGTTGCGATACCCCGAGGACTYGGTSCCGCCTCCCGTTTCCACSACCGCCCCCTCTTGTGYGTCGCCATTGCCTGGTCTTGYGGCTCCAACTGACGGGGTCACAGCTCCGCTSCYGGCGAAKGCATGTCCACCRCCTCGGCCACRTCCTACGGTAGCCRGGACAMCGGGTGCTCGGCATGAGCATGTTGGTYGGTCATTGCCGGCCAACGAGCCCCCATCTGTTAGGGAGGGTGGAGGCGTTGCGGCATTTGACGAGGAAAGCACGCGTGCTTTCGTCGACAGTCGCAGGTGGGGGAGGGATGCGGGCTCTTCGGCCGGACTCGCCCCTGTGTTCACCGCTGCCAGACAGTCAACTGCCGCACGGGCTACTAGTGTTGTGGCACCCGTCGCACCTGCCCGTTGTTCGTCGGAGCACCCTTGGCTGCCGCCTCCGCCGTCGAGAGCGGCACGGGATCATGTTGTCGGCCATGTCGGTGTGATGGACAGACCAGATCCCATGCACGTGGCTTTAGATGCTGGACATCCTGCTCCCCCTTCCCGAGTCGGGGGACAGGCGGTGCCCGGGGTGCCTGCTGAGGAGATCCTCCCTCCGCTGGCCGATTCGGCGCCGACCCCGATTCGGACAACGACTGCCAATGCTCCGCCTGTGCTCAGCGGATCATTAGATCCTTTGTACCGCATGCGCGACATTGCAGTCGCCCAGAGTGCGGCACCCGCGAGTCCTGGTGGGTTGTTGGATGCCGGGGTCCTCAGTGGCCGAACCACGACGGGACGAGGCCGGGGGACTTATCGCCAGCAGGCCGTGACGTCGTATTATTCGGACCCTTTGGAGTGCGTGTGGCATTTGCAGATCATGACGTTCCTCGTCGAGAGCGAGATGCCGTTCAACTGCGCGAAGCTCGAAAGCTTCAAGCGCATGTTTACGATGATCATCCCGCCGGGGATTCCCGGGACGCCCACTCCTAAACTCCCCACCTACCATATGCTGCGCACGACCCTCTTGGACGAGCTGGATGCCGAGGTCGAGAAGTGTATTCGCCCTGTTCTCGACATGTCGAGACAACATGGTTGCACAATCATGACGGATGGTTGGACCAACATCAGGGGTCAGACATTGTGCAACTACCTTGTCGGGACAGAGCCAGGGGTAGCGTACGTGGCCACCAACGTCATGCGCGGCAAGAAGGACGCCCATGCGCTCGCGACCGCGTGGTTGAATAGGGTGAAGTCCCTGGACGTGAACTTGAGCGACATCACAGCGTTCGTGACGGACTCCGTCGGGGTGAATGTTGCGGCGATGGACGTTTTCCAGAAGGATGAGAGYGTCAAACACATCTTCTGGATTCCGTGCGTCGCCCATGTCATGGACCTCATTCTCGAGGACATCGGCGGGATTGATWGGGTGGCTTCCCGCATAGCTCAGGCGAGGCTGGTGACGAGGTTTTTAAGCGCCATGGCCACGCGCGAGAGATTCTGGAGGGGCACTCGAACAAGACTCATCTGCTGCCGACAGAGACGCGTTTTGGAACGAACGTCATCATGATGGAGAGGCTGGTGGACCTGCGGGGAGAGCTGACGAAGGTTATAGGCGACAAACGCTGGCGTGAGACGGTTTGGTCCACCAACAAGATCCACAAGGACGCTACGGAGGTTACTGCGTGCATCGGGTCTCCTCCGTGGTGGGAGGATCTGATAGCTCTATATACCATGCTGCAGCCCATCATGGACATGTTGAGGTTGGTGGACAGCGACACGTGCCTGATCAGCAAGATTTTGCGCCGTTATGAGGTAATGATTGCATCTTGTTCGTCCGCATGCAAGGACATCGATCGGGAMCAGCAGGAYGCTATTCTGGAGGTGTTTGYCAGGCGACGCACCATRTTCCGGACCSCYGCCCACACARCAGCCATGTTGTTGGATCCCGAGTTCCGGGACCCAACGCTTATTGACGATGATGAGGTGCAGCAGGCGTTGGTCGAGGCCCTTGTCCAGTTYGGCTACCCGRAGGGATCGCCGCAGCACCGGGAGGTCCGTCGAGCCGTTGGCAAGTTCCACACAGGGGAGCCGCCTTTCGATGACGTCACCATGCGGCGGGCGGTGGATACCTTTGACCATCCTGCCAGTTTTTGGTCGTCGAAGAGTGCGAAGTTTCCTCACACGGCCGTGTTCGCCGGCAGGATCCTCCGCATTTGGGCGACGGCGTCACCGTGCGAGAGAGYCTGGTCTCGCTGGAGCTTCATTCAWWMAAAGTCTCGRAACAGGTTGGAGGTCTCTYGGGCTGAGAAGCTTGTCAGGTGCCAMTGGAACCTCAGGCTGCTCGATAGACCTGCGTTGCATGAGGATGGAACTGGTGAGAGGCCCGAAATCTTCGGGAAGTGGTTGCATTATTGGCAGGCCGTGGAGGA